TGTTAAGTTAAAGGTGGGGTAGGTAATTTTGGAGAAACCAGCTCGAGTGCGCTAGAATTTGAAAATACACAGCCGGAAAAAATCTGCCACTTCCTTACAGAGCCCCTCCTCCAACACACACGAACGCGCACATGACCAATGAGGGCACGAGATAAGTTTGTGCACAGATGGAAGGCTGACAGGCAGGTAGGCCATCCAGTTATTTTAGCCGGGCCGGCTAAAATTATTGGTCGTGCTTTTTACAGTACGGCTTCCACAGATGACCTTTTTTTATGGATTTTTTGTCAAAGCACTTAAGATATTCATTGCTATCGGGATGTTAAGAGCATTCCATGGAATATAACAAAAAGTGTATCTCGAGCCGGTTTCTCAAACTTACCTACCCCACCTTTAATGTTAGCTTAGTATGATATTTTCCCTTGTTAGAAACTAGGTAGTAGTTAGGAATTTAAAACTCACAAACTCACGCCCACACAGAAACCAGCATGCAAGACACACAAAATCCACACACATTTTAGCTTTATGCCTAAGAACATAAATTACCAAGCAAGTCAAATGAATAATTATGTTTTTATTGCACAAATTATGCTCTGTCCCTTAAACTAGCCAGTCTCTGAGGCCTGGGAAATGTATTAAGGCAGTGCTATAGATCATCCCATCCGCTGTGGCGTGTATATAGATCGGTCGGCTCATTTGAGGAATATTGAATCGGTTACAGTAAAGTAAGCCCCTGGATTGAGTCAAATGTAAAAATCCATGCATGTGTGAGGAGCTGTCAGCGTGTGCTGTAATGACGGATGGCGCTGGGTCTCTGTTTCAGCGAGAGGTGATAAAAAGTGGTATTATGAGTGCTGGGGAGGCACGAGGGAGTGTGGGGGAGCAAAGACAGAGAAAAGAGAATTGGACCAGATCCGTCAAATGATAAGAGCAATCATTCAATCTGGGGACGTTTGGGACGATGGAAGGTGTTATTTCCTCTCAGTGCAGTTCGGAGTCAGGGGTCGGTGAGGGGTCAAGAGTATGGCCTCTGACCTCGGGATAGTGAAGAGTGAGACACCAGTCAGTCAGTTATTGATTCATGTCCTTCACAATTTACCCATGTTATTATCTATTGGACATGATTGGTTTCCAATTGCAGTGGAAGGACTTAAACACAAAGGAGGGACTTGATTAGCAAAATAATTGTCATTTAGAAATTATACTTGTTGGAAATCTTTATCCACTGCACTCAGGTTATTTTGAGGAAACGTCACTCACGAAGGTCTTTATTTGCACAAAAGGACATTTTTTTTTAAAATTATGTCTAGGAAAATTAAATGTGCAATGGAACAGCAGAAACCAAATAAATAAACACCCATAAAATACCCCTGACCAAACAAACTCTTAGACTCCAAACGTGTCCTCAAAGCGACGATAATAATACAATGTAAGCTGTCTTGAAAAATATGTAATTGAATAACACAAAATAAAGATATTATATCAATAATAAAGGATTGTCCATACAAAATATCCCAGTTAAAGCTCTATCTAGTAAGCAGCTGTTAAGGCAAAGTTAAGTTTGTTACTTAGTCAACATTTATTGAGGTTTCTGCACATCATAATTGCCAAAACGTGTGTAATTAAATGAGATCAGATTTGATCAAACTGTTCTGCAAAGTATATCGTACTAAGCAGTAGAAGCATCATCTGAAACAGGAAACACGAGACATAATCCCTACCCTGACATAGTTTGATTTTGCTCTCATCCCTGACTTCACTGATACCCTCCTGAAAGTGGGTCTAAGTTTCTGGTAGCATCCAACTGTATTACAACACAACCCCTTGCTAAAGCCTGACAACATGCCTCCCTTCTGCTTTCTGTCTCAGTCGCATCAAACAGAGCCGTGGACCCCCCACCGGGCCGACCCCCACACGCTCTGATGCTGACCCGCTCCGAGGTGTGAACTTCTCTCCCCAGCTGATAGAGCCTCCCGATCATTTTTATAGTCCCCATCTCTCGCTGTTTATGACTCTGCAGTTTGATTATAGCAGAGGGGGCTTGAAGAGGTAAGAGCCTCCGGAGAGGCACACACACATACATCAAAGGAGCGAGAGGAATGTGGACATTTGTTGTTTGTTTTATCATCCAGTACCACTTATCTGCTTAATCATAAAGGATTGGCCTGGGAATGAGGCAGGAGGGAGGCTGTGCTGGCCAAACAAACTATCCCAAACACTGTAATTGTTACTGGAGGGACGAGCCAGATTCAATTTGGTCGTAGCAGCTTACAAGGTACATGGGTGTTTTATTTGAAGAGAGATCAGAAGAGCACTTTAACATTACAAGTCCAGGTAGAGGACAAGAGGTTGCTATTACATTACAGATGCATTTGAGTGATTCAGCTGCATCTGTAGTCAACTATTTATGCTATTTAATATTACAGTTTACTCAATCAGTCCTTTCTAATTAAGTTGAATACTCATAGTGCAAATAATCAGTAACATGTGCTTTATGCAAGACATTATTGATCTTAACAATATTGTGATAACATTTCAAGACACTGATTAGTTTGACTGATTAGTGAAGCAACTAATTATGTTCTTAATGTATTAATCTGCCTATTGTCTTCTTGATTAATTGATTAATCTTGTGGTCTATGAAATGTCAAAAAGAATGTAGGAAAATGTCCCTCACAATTTCTCAGAGGCTTAGATGATGTCTTCATGTTGCTTGTAGACTTGGACCAAAAGTCCAAAACCTTAAAGATATTAAATGTACAAATAAAAAAAAAAGAAGTAATTCCTTATTATTGAGAAGCTTGAGCAAAAACAATTATTTCCTTTATTACAGACGCATTATTTCTGGAGCAGTTTTGCTGTCTTCTATTCAAGCCTTTAGTCACACCTTAAAAAAATTGTAATCATGATTAAACATGCATGTTCCTGGTCAAATTGGTTGGACCTGATGCATTTAAAAAAATGTTTCTCAACTCATAGCCTTGTTAGTATTGATCCCTGTTTCATGATAAGGGCCTGTTTTCCTCCCCAGTTACACAGAGAAATCAGTGTATGGTAGATGTCTTACTTGCAATATATTGTACCCAAGAATTACCTGTGTTGCAGTACCATTATAATTATGGTGTTTCTCCATCTGTTTAAAGCAGACACGGACAAATACATCCTTTAACATTTAACATGACAGGCCACATAAAGTGCATACAAATATATGTAGTTCCTAATGGCAGTAGCAGCACGCAACTCAAAAGTACCAATGCATTTTTCTTCAAATCTGCTTGGCGTTGGATTAATCTGAGTCTTAACGCTGATGCATCCCAAACCGCTTCCGTAGCAAACTGACTGAGCTGTAGCTACAGTGTGTGAGATACACAACACTTTAATTAAGTCACAGGATCTCGCCCCCCTTTTTTCTCTTTCTGGCCCTGAGAGTCAATCAGACTCTCTGCCCTTCGTTTCCCCTGTGTGGGAGGCCGCTGTGCTGGGCTGAGTAGCTGGGAAAGTCCCGTGATTTATGGCCCTTTGCAGGCCTGACTGCCCCTCACCTCGCTCATGATAGAGCCAGAGGTAACGAGGACTGGTTGCTCCAATCCACTCTTCTATTTGCTAAATCCAATTTTATTCATTTGGGATTTAAAGGCACTTCACAGCGTTTGCCGTGTGACGCACATACTATTGATAGATAAAATTGGAAAGATTTATCAGAGTACTTCTATGTGTAATTGGGTATATTTCTTACAGGATGGGTGATAATCACATGGATTAGATGTTAATGATTAAGCGCTCCAGAGGGAAAGAGAGGGCATTTTATTCTCAGTCTCACATGGTAGACTTTCATTTCCTTATTCATTACTTTTCCCTCCTTTTGAAGTATGCTCCACAGAGCCTTGTAAAAGTGTTGGATGCATTTGTCTGAGCAAATTGAAAGCAGCTTAAACTGAATAACTATAGGTACCAATCTGTTGTGGCTTAATATTTACCTTGTGTCTCTTTGCCCAGGTCAAGTGTCCCCCACTGCTGTATCAACAATATTGAAATTTACTGTATTGCGGATAACACACTAAACGAGACCAGAGTCCATTTTGAATCATTATGGGGTCCTCTTTTGAGGCTTTCCATACATGTTTCAGTCTACATCGGAAGATCAGGCAACTATGACATATTAAAATCAACCAACCTTACACACGTGGAGGTACACACATGAACACCAGCAGCAGCAGGGCAGTAACTCAAGGCCAAAGGAGGAGGTTTATTTTTATCGTGGGCAAAGGCGCCAAATCATGTTGGTATGAAGGGGGCTATATAAATGCAAATTGTATTGGAGAGCTATTAGTCCTGGAAAAGGTTTGTATGTAAATGCCCTATAGGACCACAGCGGAGCACTCGGCCAGTTCAGAGATTAGTGGGGTTTGTGGCAAATGTGCTACAAAAGACAAAATAGAAAAATAGACAGAAAATGCAATTGCCTTGTGGTAAACCATGGTGAACAAGGTGAGTAGTTGAGTAATTGAATGGCCAAGGTGTTTCTCTATGGTTTATTGTGTATGCAAGAGAGGTGTATCGAGGACTGTTTCCTGTGCAGGTGTTTGTGTGTTATGGTCATTTTGTAGTACATGATACAGATTTTGTTTCTGTCCCTGAACATAAAGTGTGACAGTAAGCAGCTCTGTGGAAGTGAATGAGCATAAAGATGAAGCATCACTAAATGAATTATGGGCTGATTAATGCCTGCCTTGTTTATGGCCGTACAATATTTCACAACTAGACTTTGTAGCTGGCAATAAAACATAATATAGTGACTGGATAAAAGATGGGTGATTATGACATTAACAAATCAAATATGGCACAGGATGCCACATCCTTCATGGAAAATAAAGGATGTAATAATTGGGCATTAGGCTGTGAGAGACAACACTAGCGCAAGGCCGCCCTCTAGCTTTAAGATGAGGGATTCACAGCCTTACGACACCTATCAGTCATTAATCCACCACACAGAATACTGAGTTATATTGCATTTTATTACGACAGTGAATGCCTACAAATTAATAACATTAAAAATAACATATTACAAAAATAAATTGTGTGCAGTTAGAAGAAAACACCCTCATATATACAGTATTTACATTTCAACATATGCATTGAAAGGGTTAAGATCACTTAACATCACTGTATTGAGACATTCTACTTGTTTTTTATACTGCCAAGTTTAAACAGAATGACCAAAATAAAAAGAAACACATTCTGTCGCCTCCTTGTATCGTGCATGAGATCACTGTATGTCAAATGTAAAGTGCAACTGCAATTCTTCATAGATCTTTTTTTCTTCCTGAATTATTTCTTCCGAAACTTTATATTTCTGCAAACCCAGTTCATGCCGTCCTGAAAAGAAACAGAATATGTGTGAGCACTTAACTTTGTATCTAAAAATCTCAGCAATCTCATAAATATGTAAAGTTCAAAAGCAGACGTTCTTTTCTTACACCCAGAGGCAGCAGGATACTAAATTACAATACTTCAAGTAAAGTAATCAATGCCAATATTCTGTAAGTTCTTAATACCCACAGCAGAGGCAATTGGCGCCACTCTGCAGCCCACCCTGTCTCAACCCTTGCTGTGTATGCATGTGTGTTTGCTGACAGTGTGTACTGTATTTACCTGCAGTCCCTCAGCAGTGACTGCTGAGCAGGCCTGGACCTGCCACATGCGGTCTCGGATCGTGTGCAGACTGAGACATTCTGCCAGCTCAGACGCTGGGGTGGCAGTCGTCAGATCCTGCTTGTTGGCAAAAACCAGCAGTGGCACAGCAGCGAGCGTTTCCTCCTCCAGCAAGTCAGCCAGCTCCTGCAGGAACAAACAGAAACATATGGCAGCAAACTAAATAATACAGATTTTTGGCTTAAATTGCAGTCAATATTGTTTAAAATTAGAAATGAATAAACTGTAATTACAATCTGTAACTTACATTTAAAATATCTAGAAATAATGTAGAAAGAAACCGTTTTGCATCTCACCAGACCTGTCTCTTCAAACCTTTTCCTGTCGGAGCTGTCAATCACATAGATCTGCAAACAACACAGTCATAGACATTACGATCTATACATCTCAAAATGTTCAAAATAGGTAATACTGCTTGTCTTAAAAGTGTGTTCTTATTATCATACTTTACTTAGCTTTTGGGCACATGGGAATATGCTATTATTTGTATATATGGTTTATTTTATTTTAGAAAAACAGTAATCTTATGTGCCAAATAATAAAAATAGTAGAAGAAAATTGAAAGCATCTCAGAAACAATCAAGCATTTAAATCAATGAGATCACAACAAGTTGAATATCATATAGAAGCTATGCACTCATGTGAAATGGAAAAACATCAAATATACACCCGGTTATGAGATTTCCCATTTTGTCTTGAATCAATTTTTAGTGATTGTAATTTAAATACGTCAAGACTTTAGACTGCTCAGAACAAATGGTGTTGCATTTTTCCTGAGCATACTGTACTAAAGATAGTCTTTGGGCTCACATGAGTTCATTCCAGCTATTTTTACAAACAGGTAAGTACATCAAAGCCAACCTACCAGTACATCTGTGTTCTCAAAATAATTCTTCCAGTAGGGGCGGATCTTGCGCTGACCTCCTATGTCCCACACATTTAACTTGAAGCCAGATGATTGAACGCTCTTTATATTGAAACCCTGTTGAAGATAACATGTGTATCCATGTGAGGAAATGTGTGACAATGGTAACACAATATGATATTTCCACAGCGTGAGATTCAACTTCTGGATGTGTGCCTTTGTGTACTTGTGTGGGGGTGATGTGGCTGATATCTTCCGCCGCCAGCTGTTTCAGCAGAGTGGTCTTGCCAGCGTTGTCCAAGCCCAGCAGCAGTAAGCGCACCTCCTGATCTGGGGTCTGCTTCAGCCTCCGAAGAATGGACAACAGGCCCTGCAGTTGGATCAGAGTGCATGTTAGAGCAGGCTCAAAGATTACATATAACCCTGGAAGCAATTTCTCATGTCATTGTTACATGGTCTAAGCTGTATGAGGTAAAGCCCCATTCATCAGAGGCCATAGGGTTTGGCATAGGAACCAAATGCAGCGTGCACAGGAGGTTAAACACTCACACCATAGCAAGAGCTATCTAAAGCATGAGGACTTAGCTGTTAGCCGCTTGCAGAGACCTACACGAGCCAAAAGCTATCATTGGCCAAGATTAAGCATGTGCACAGGGAGTGGGTGTTGTCCAGAAGGCTTTGGCTCAAGCAGTCACTGCACTCCCACTGACCTGAAACATGTGCAATGTGCCAGATGTAGAGTCTTTTTTTGTAAATATATAAATGGACACATTTATTGAGGCATTTATTTATTTATTGCACATCTTTTTTCTTTTTATCTTAAAACTCAATTGTTTTCTTTGGCTTGTTCCTGATTGTGTAACTTAATATTGTGTTGTTTTTACAGTTTGACTTCTTCCTCTGTAACAACTGGTTTTAAACGTATTAAATCAAAATGTGGTCCAAAACAAGGAAGCCTGCATATACCTTTTCCATGGCAGACAATGTCAAAATATAAAAGGTACAGGTGTATTTAAAACATTACAATTTGGGAAGCCCCTGGTATTGTGCATGCTGGTTCCCTGGAATATCTTTTTAGAATATTTATTGGAAATTAGTCACCTGTGCTTTTATCATGACAGGTCAAAATGTCTGCTCTAAAAAATATTTTTGAACACTGACAACTTAACGGTGACACAAAAGTAAAGGTGTATTTTATCTACCTACATAATTAAGTTTGGTACAATTCAATTACATCTAACTCTAGCAATGCAAGACAAACATAAACAATACAAGTGTTAATCTATGCTTTTTTTTGATAATATAATAAATGTCCTTATATAGATGACACAATTATACCAGACGGACATTAAACTATGAATCATAACAATAAAAGGAGATAGTGGTGGTAAGTAGAATACGTTTAGTAAAAGTATACGTGTCCTACTGGTATCTCTTTTGGCTGCCATGACATGTTAGCCAGCTGAAGCTAGTTACAGTAACACACACTTAAAACAAAAATACAAAAATATAAACAAAAATGTTTAAAATATGTGACTCCAAAGCAGCCAGTGCTGTACAGTTTAAAACTCACCATGTTATCCTCAGGTGCTGTTGGTACTGTGACCCTTTGTTCAGACTGAGAGGATTAACATCTTTCTAACCCATGCTTCCTGTAAGAACAGCTGTTAACTTCTGCTGCCAGGAGAACAGAGACGTCAGAGTTAACAACGTGACAGCTGGGTGTCTCTTGGCACAAGACAGACATTTCTTACTGTAAATGTAGTTTTCTTATTGATGAATTGTTTATATATTTCCCTTTTAACCCTCTATGGCATGACTTTTTATTTTGGGAGGAAAAAAAATGTTCACCATGTGTTTTAGGAGCTTAGGGGTCCCTGATATTATATCAATTATAAAATGTGACCCCCCCACACCCCTCAACCAGGGGTTGGTTTGTTGCCTCAGGGCAACACTGTGCTACGAGGGTATTGAAACACCAAGGATTTCTACAATTCAGAAGAAATAGAAAAAACAACTCTATATGAATTCAAAAGGTTTTCTTTGTGTGTACATGTGTAGGTGTGTGTGTGTGTGTGTGTGTGTGTGTGTGTGTGTGTGTGTGTGTGTGTGTGTGTGTGTGTGTGTGTGTGTGTGTGTGGTGTGTGTGAGGGTGTGGGTGTGTGTGTGTGTGTGTGTGTGTGTGTGTGTGGTGTGTGTGTGTGTGTGTGTGTGTGTGTGTGTGTGTGTGTGTGTGTGCATGTGTGTGCATATGTCTGTATATGTCTGTGTATGCGTATGCGTGTGTGTGTCTGTGCCTGTGTGTGTGTGTGTGTGTGTGTGTGTGTGTGTGTGTGTGTGTGTGTGTGTGTGTGTGTGTGTGTGTGTGTGTGTGTGTGTGTGTGTGTGTGTGTGTGTGTGTGTGTGTGTGTGTGTGTGTGTGTGTGTGTGTGTGTGTGTGTGTGTGTGTGTGTGTGTGTGTGTGTATTAGGGCTGTGCAATTAATCGTATTTTAATCGCAATTACGATTTTGGCCTGCCACAATTACAAAAACAACATAATCGAAAAAAACGATTATTTTGCTTTGCTTGGTTGTGACAGTGCACTGCAACATATTTGATCTAATTTATTTTAGTCTAATTTATTTGTATTTATCATATTTACATATGTTTAGTAGCTTGTTGAAGTGCGCTCCAAAATATTTGTTGATCTTGTTTATTGGTATTTATTATTTTGATATTATTTATTTAAATGTAAATATAAATGTATCATTTATTTTATTTATTTTTGTATTGGTTTTTCAGTTGAATTATACGTTCAGGGTATGTGTATGTATATGTATGTGTGTGCCTAACCCTATCTTGACCTTCACTGTCCTCACTGTCAGACGGAATAGCCCTAACAGCCTGATCGTGTCCCTTCTGCCCATAACATGTTTTGGTGTCCATTTCCTGTAAATATCAGTAAATGGTAAAGTAAAAACATTGACTAGGTTTATCATTTTACAGCTGAGCACATTTGCACACTTGCATGATATTGCCTGGAAAAAAGTGGTCTAAGTGGCACAGTGTTGCCCTGAGGCAACGAACAAAAAAACATAGTTTTAGATAATTAATAAATACATAATAAGTATTTAAACAATCAAATATACTTCTTTACGTATTCATGCACATGCATATATTTTTTATTTTAAGTTGTGTACATTTCAAATATGTTAAAAAGTTAAATGTATCTTACCAAGTGGTGGCCCAATTTATATATACAGTCTATGGGTGGCCCTGAGTCCCCTGCAGCTTTGCTTGCAGAAAGGACTGCTCCACCCCCAGACAAAATGCCACACCCATATAATTCCCTAATTTTATTGGACACCAGCATGTCAGGTGACATTGTGTATATTTATAAAAATAAAAATATTTAGAGGGCCAGTGTGAGGTCGAAAAAAGTGGTTTGTTGCCTGAGGGCAACAGTATGCCATAGAGCAGTGGTGCCCAACCAGTCGATCGCGGGGAGATTCCCAGTCGATCGCGAGATGTGTCTAAAAATAGAACAACAATATTCAGTTTTATCGTTAATGTCCTATAACATAATCTTCCTGTGCCAGAATAATGCACTTGAACGCATCAAAGCTTTGTGATTGGCCCCTGGTTCAACGACTGAACAATACATCTTTTTTGTTGTTTATAAAAGCTACAGCTAAATGAGATAATGTAGTTAATAAATGTATTCTTTGATATGGTTTAGCCTTTCTCAGGCTACAACATGGTTACGTTTATGAATATTATTAAGGAATACAAATCCCTCTTTGCAATGTTTACCAGCCTCCTTAGGCTTTTCAATCACAATCATTCAACTGGAATAAATACAATATTGTTAACATGAAAATATGATTTTATGTTCGTTGTTTAGAGTTATTCTAAGGCTTTACTCATTGGGAACTCGGTATGAGAGAGCACACCAGCGCCATATAGAGTGGCGAAGTCCCTCCCCTTCCGGTGGACCTCCATGGGACCTTATTTCGGAAAAATTATGTATTGAAGTCAATGGAGAGAGAAAGATTATCTTTCGATCCCGTTTGAATTGTGCCATGAATTACACATATGTTGTTTGTCAATTTAAAAGATAATTTTGCAAGTCAAAAAAAAAAAATGTGTCGTAAAACTGTGAAGTAACACATTTGTTTGTGTGAAACGCTCAAAGAACTACATCTGATCTCTGGTCAACAACACACGTCACCAAGATGGCCGTCACTACTGTCTTGTCAACACAAGAGACTACCCTCACTATCACTACAATGAAACACGTCCTGAAGAATGTCATGCCTGCCTTCCTTCCTTTGATTCTCTCTGAACTGCCTGGTCGTTTTAATGTTTAATGTCAACCATTTGTGCAGATAGCATGAAGTAGAGAAGATCGCTAGCGTTAGCGTTAGCATTTCTCCCCCGGGCTTAAATTGTGTATTATAGAATGATCACACCGGTGACAGTACTATTCAAAGGGTTCACGAAATATGACTACTACTCTTACTGTTTAACATTTTGGGTTACTTAATGTTACTTCATGTTAAGGCTAATAAAAATGACAAGGCTGTAATGCTAACTAACGTGCTAGCTACTAGCTAGGTAGCTAACTTGATCCACACACTCCTCTTTCATCAGACGGGAAGCGAAAGAACGAGCAAGACCCATTGCTGGTATAATAACAACCTGGTACTAAGCACACAGGCACAAAGTTATCTTATCTTAGCCAGCGCCATATAGATAGATTCTATCTATATGGCGCTGATCGTATATATACGGTATTATACGTGTATCGTAGTGTCTCAATTGTGACATCACTTACGCGACTCTGGGATTTGTAGTCTTTCTAGTTTCGTATTTTTCAAAGTCTTATATTTCAACAGTTTTAAGACAAACTGTGACTTTTTTGACATGGAAATGATTTTTTAAGATTGACAAACATCATATGTGTAATTCATGGCACAATTCAAACGGGATCGAAAGATAAGTTTTCTCTCCCCATTGTCTTCAATGCATAATTTTTCCGAAATAAGGTCCCATACCCCGGAAGTAAGTGGGAGGGACTTCGCCACTCTATAGAGTTATGACAACGGAAGTCCAAAATACTTGATCGTCACGTGGTCCAGGGAGAATCAATAGTTCCCCGGAAGTTCGTGGCGGGACATATGAATGCATGATTACCAGAGATAGAACTACGATTTTTGGTAATAATTAGGGAATAAAGGTTTTGATTTGCAATATTTATACAACATACCGATATGTGTATGTATTTACATCGATATGTTTTAAAATAAAATAGAATCTGCTAATATTTATGGGTAATATTAGGAATAGTGTGAACAGCTAGTTTACTTGTTAACATATACATGTTAGGCTAACGTTGCCTTGGTTAAAGAGCCTGTTGCTGTTGTGTATTGCTTTGAATTATTTAAAACAAATATTATCTTCTTAAACAGGTATGGTAGTCAGGAGCATCACTTCCTAATGTTTGATATATTTAGAGGGAGGGGATGGCAAGGAATGCTTCAAAATTTAGATTAGATTCATTTCTACCATTTTTTTAATTCATGGTGGTTTCAGTAATCCCATGGTACTTGAGGACATAAGTAATCTAAATGAGTAATGTAATCTTTATGACTTTCAGAAAGGACAGGAGACCAACAGGTGACTATCAAAGGACTAGCAGCAGCATGATTATGACGTCAAATGTGTTGTTTTAGGAACATCCATTGTAAATACATGGAATTCAATAAACATTGAATAGCATGTCATGCAGTGTGTCTGTGCCTTTTCCTCTGTGTTGTCCTGGCATATAGTCTCCACCATGGTTTGCTGTGCTGCCTGGGGATGCTCCAATCGCTCAGAGAAAGGAGTAAGAATCAGAATGTACGGCTTCCCCACTGACACAGAGAGGAGGAACAAATTGCTAGCTCAAGTCAGCAGGAGCAATTTAAAAATCAAAACAGACAACCGCAACAAAATATGTGAGGTAATCATATTTTTCACAAAACGAAGACCACACCATTGGGAAGCTTAATGTCTGTTTAATAAAAATAAGGAACAGGGAGAGGCTTGCAAAACTCTGGGAGTTGAGACTCAGGTGCAGGGTGAGGGTCTCATTGCAGGTCTTCAGGCTCCATTGAATCCCCCTGGGGTTCTTGTGCTGAAAGAGGGAGAAGGGGATAAAAGCACGTTAAGAAGCCCTTTTTCTCTAATTCCACAACGTTGGATGAAATAACATTAGGAGAACGGATTAATAGGCTGTTCATGGTTAACGTGTGTTGCTAACTTTATCCGGTATCCTAGCCTAATCTGTTATCTGTAAACGTTCCCTAAATCAGTAGATTTAGGGATAATCCACTAACATCCTTTAATACACATGTTCATTTGACTTAGATGTGCTGATAATATCCGCAATATAAATCTTTAAACGTCTTCTTACCTTTAAAAGTCCATCACGAACAGTCTATTATGCTGCAACTCTACTGTGCTGCTGGCCGCAATAGTTCCCCGGAAGTCAGCGGCAAGCTAACTTCCGGGGAACTATTAAGGGCTCCACGATCCGCCATTCGCGTTCACACCGGAGTACTTTTCACCGTACTTTTCGCGTTTAGTTCCGTTAGTACCCCTTATGTCGCGTTCACACCAAAAATCGTACTTAATCTCGGGTACTTTTACCCCCATTTTTAGAGCCGGCTGAGAGAGCATACAACACACCTGGCACAGTTTATTGTTATTATATTGCCACACTGTACACTATTGTAATGTTGCCTGTCTTGACTGGAAAATAAAAGAGAAACAAAAGCACTGTACAAAAGATTAGCTTTATTGTCAAAATGTTTACAATTTACACGCTGTTCAGATGCCTCATAAAGCTGGGTCGCCGGTAAGGCAGTCCATTCGTCCCTGTACTCATTACTTTCACAAAGGTTATGTAATATGCAACATGCTGCCACCTGGATTGTGATCTTGTCCATCTTGCAGTCGTTTCTTTTCATCAAGCACCGCCACCTGCCCTTCAGTCTGCCAAAAGCGTTCTCCATCACCACTCGTGCTCGGCTTGTTTTGTTATTGTACGCAAGTTGCTCAGGCTGCATTAACTCAGTTACAAAGCTGTATAACATGAGCACAAACAGCACAACTTCAGTCGACTCCATCTCCATCATGTCTGAGGTCGGAAGGTAAACAACAGACGCCTAATGTACAGCGAGTGGGTGGGCGTCGCAGTATACGCGGGAAGTTTTTCTTCTTCTTCTCTTGTTTTGCAGCGGATTGCAAACAACTTTAAGGTGCATACCGCCACCTACTGTACTCGCCGTGAAGTGGTTTGTGGCCTGCCAGTAAAGCCAAAGCAGAAGAAGAAGAAGTGACGTCAGCGGCTCATTTGCGTAATCTTCCCTCAGGGAAAAGTACTCCGGTGTGAACGCGATCTGTACTAAGAGCCCTGGGGTTAAAAGCGCCGGGGCTCTTAGTGCCGGAACTAAGTACAGGAAAGTACTTGGTGTGAACGCGGCTATTAGCCGCGTTCACACCGGAGTACTTTTCACCGTACTTTTCGCGTTTAGTTCCGTTAGTACCCCTTATGTCGCGTTCACACCAAAAAGAGCACTTAATCTCGGGAACTTTTACCCCCATTTTAGTGCCTGCTGAGAGATCGTACTTTCCTGGGGGAAAAAAGTGCCCCAGTTCTGGTTGGCTGGGCGAATTGCAAACCACGCCCCGTACAACTCTGAAATGTTTTGTAGAGCCGCCATTTTATTATCCTCGCATTAGCATTATTAGCATTAGCATTCGCCCAGCGCACAAACGCAGAGAGACTAACTTATGGCAACACAAAACAAAACATGGGAGCGGTGGCGATGAGGAGGTGTCGGCGTTCTGGCGATTTACTCGGAAGGCTTCAGTAGAAGCTGTTGGGAGTCCCAGCAGCTTCTACTGAAGCCAGTCCCCAACTCCGGGGACCTCCGGCCGGGGACTCCGGGTGGCAGTATACACCGTGAAGTTGTTTGCTGCCTGCCAGTAAACCCAAAGCAGAAGAAGACGAAGTGACGTCAGCGGCTCATTTGCGTAATCTTCCCTCAGGGAAAAGTACTCCGGTGTGAACGCGATCTGTACTAAATGCCCTGGGGTCATAAGTGTCGGGGCACTGAGTGCCGGCACTAAATACGGCAAAGTACTTGGTGTGACTATTACATCATTATGTCTGCTTCAACTTTTAAAACACTCTATTCACTCGACATGTGTAATATTTATAAGAGTTTATTGAAAATGTATTTCAAAATAGAAAACATTGGCCTCCAAAAGTAAACATATTTTCACGAGGGAAAAAACAACAATAGAATCGTTTAGCACATAAGACAATAATCAAAATTAAAATCTGCATGCAAAACCTAAGGATAATCATTCATGATCAAGCATCCTTTAATTTATAAAAAATAGGTTAAAAGCAGACTCAATCCATCTGGGATTTGCTGTATTAAAACATTACATGTCAGGTGAGAAGGCAAAGTCATTTCTTACATCTTTACATTACATGAATGACTTGCATGGTTTGCTGAATCTGGTTTTAACCTTACAGGAAAACATATTCATTTTATAAAATATGACTGGTCCAAGTGTAAAAAAGGGCAAGAGCTATGATTAAACATGAAGGTGCAAAAGCTATATTTTATAGAACTCCCACAGAGACATTTACATTACTATTTCCCCATTGTAATAGTTTTAGACATTTTCTTTCTTGATGTAATGTACTTTTATTCTAAAAATGGATTTCTCTACATACAACATTCACTTTTTTCCCTTTAGCTGATCAATGAGATATTTCTCCTCTTTCTCAAGGATTCTGTAGAAGACTTCTTTGCCACGAGGCCCTGCTGCATTCAGGGGACCACTGAAGAGTTCCCTCATCTGCTCCTGATTGGTTGGGATTTTCCTGATTGTATCATAAATCGCTTGTTGGATGACTTCTTCATCAAAGAGCTTATCCAGAATGTTTCCAATGCAGTTCACTCTGTTGATCAGCTCGGTTCTATGTTTATCCACGAAGTGCTGACCTGAGGAAGGAGGGAATAATGAGTAAAGTGTTGATACCATGAAGCCAACTTGATGCATTTCTAAACTAATATTTTATTTTCTATAACAGTGACTTCTTTATTTTCAATGTATGTGTATAGTATTAGTTTAACTGCATGTGGGTCCGTGGAAGGTTGGTTTAATAATTTGGGATAACTACACAAACCTGATGCATATTCTGTGTTTTAGAGAAATTGTTAATTATTTTTGGGAATAGTGGATTGATAATGTTGCCAACGAAGCACATCTGAAAAAATAAGGTCTTCTTCTAACAATTACAAACTTGTTTTCTCCAAATGCAATTAATTAAACCTCTCACATCTTCTGCTTTGATGATGGGACATGCAAATATTGATTTTCTTGCCAAGAATGAGAAAAAAAGGTTGAAATGTCTCAACATTAGAGTTTTATCTTTCTTTTCGTATAAGGCAAAGAAAGAACCAAAAAAGAATATTTCCCAAGTGTCAAATTATTTGTTTAACAACAATGCAGCCGTTATCAGTTTCTTACATTGGTCTTTAGCCTAGACTTTATTTAGAACAAGTAAAGCCTTTTCTAAATATTCATCATGAAGTAAATTAGCATGTATGTTTTATAGTCAGAGTCTGGGTTGCTAGTCAAATCTGATTAGTGACTGATCCACGGGGATCACAAACCAAAATCAAGTGTGCACCCACCGTCTACCATGGTGTATCGAGCTGTCCCTCCAGCTGAGGGTCCCGCAGCTGAAACAAATTGAGGGAACATTTAAATTGCTTAATGATGGACAGGTTTGGTGTTTATGCTTTTTTTTTTCATGCACACAGCAACATAGCAAAATACGGTCAATCAATGTGGAAATGTAAGATTCATTTTACATACAGGCACTGTCATTGGTTGCCAGTTTAAGAAAATACCTTAAAGGGGACCTATCATGCAAAATGCACTTTTGTACGTCTTTTATACATGAATATGTGTCCCCGGTGTTCCAGGGAACTCACCAAGTGTCAGAAAACACAACCCTCTCTATTTTCCTCCATACCCAAATCTCTAAAAAAGGGGCTGCAACGGATCTGATAAAAACTGATCCAGATTTGAACACTGTCCTGACGTCAGGACAGTGGCGCTACGGCTATTGGGCCAACTCCACCAATCAGGAGGAGACAGCCACGGCCATTGCCGTTCGAAAGCGCTGGAGACGCTGTAGTACATATGCCAGGCCTGTAGATGGTGCTGTTCTCACATAATCTGCCCTTGCAAAAACAGAGCTAAAAAATGTCAAATTGAGCAAAATGAGGCATGGCTAAAATGCATGATGTTTGGTATTTTGAAAAAAAAAAGTATAAATATGCCTTATATAGGTATGGTCCTACACTATATTATTCAAATATAGCATGATAGGTCCACTTTAAACAATTAAAGGTGGGCTAGGTAAGTTTGAGAAACCGGCTCGAGATCGCTAGAATTTGAAAATACACAACCGGAGAAAATCTGCCACTTCCTTACAGAGCCCCTCCTCCAACACACACAAACGCGCACATGACCAATGAGAGCACGAGATAAGTTTGTGCACAGATGGAAGGCTGACAGGCATGTAGGCCATCCAGTTATTTTAGCCGGGCCGGCTAAAATGATTGGTCGTACTTTTTACAGTATTACGGCTTCCACAGATGACATTTTTTTATGGATTTTTTGTCAAAGCACTTAAGATATTCATTGCTATCGGGATGTTAAGAGCATTCCATGGAATATAACAAAAAGTGTATCTCGAGCCGGTTTCTCAAACTTACCTACCCCACCTTTAAGACTGATGGTATTCTATTATTTTCAAAATGTCAACAAAATGTGTTACTGCATTACATATTTTGGGAAAGCAGTAATTATAAACCCTACAATTTTGAGGTATTTGACCAGAAATATTGGGAAATGTGATTATGTCCATATCGCACAGCCTTAAATTACTATGCACCATTTATTCACACTTTTTTTTTTTTTATCACTGTACATCCAAATTCACATAGTGTCAAGTCAATGTCGTTGTCAATGTGAAGGGTGCAGTTTGAGGAGAAATGTTAACCTGCAAATTCTGAAGAAGATGTTCCCTGCAAATCTCTCCACTGTCTTTTGTGTGGGGCTTTCAAGTTTTGTGAACTAAAGACTTTTCGCTTTTTGAAATAAATTGAATCCTATACTAGTTTTTCTATTTTATATAAGCAAGGAAACCTAATGTAGATAAACAACTCACTGTCCCTCGATCCATTTTCTGAGGACGGTCCACCCGTAGCTTCCACTGCAAAAATAGACAGATATGGTTAGCACGAAATATGACGGATGACAATTTGACATACACTTCTAATGTAGGACACATTAACACTGCCTGCTGTGATTGGCTGTTTAAAATGGGAGCTTGTCTAAACACTACTACTCCAGCAGGAGGAGAAATGATCTACTCACTGCAGAGAGGCTGACATGACTCTAATATATTTCACTTGATGGATGCAAATCAAATCAAATCAAATCAAATCAGGTTTTATTTATATAGCACATTTAAAAGCGATTTTTGGTCGAGCCAAAGTGCTGTACATGTAACAAAAACACATTACTACAATCACAATAAAAGACAATAAATTACAACAGATATATATAAAAAATAAAATAAAATAAACACAAGGAAAAGTCAGGAGTCGTGCTCCGCTCTAACTAGAAAGCCAGAGAGAAGAAGTGTGTTTTAGTGTAGATTTAAAAACCCCTAGGGTCTGGGCCGACCTCACATGTAGGGGCAGAGACTAGAGAAAACCGGAGAAAATCTGCCACTTCCTTATAGAGCCCCTCCTCCAACACAGACGAACGCGCACATGACCAATGAGGGCACGAGATAAATTTGTGCACAGATGGAAGGCTGACAGGCAGGTAGGCCATCTTTTTACAGTACTTTGGCTTCCACAGATGACATTTTTTTATGGATTTTTTGTCAAAGCACTTAAGATATTCATTGCTATCGGGATGTTAAGAGCATTCCATGGAATATAACAAAAAGTGTATCGTGAGCCGGTTTCTCAAACTTACCTACCCTACCTTTAACTAAATAAGGATATACACTGACATGACTCGAGAGGAAGTCGGGCGGGTCCCTGCTTCCTGCTTCCTGCTTCCTGTAATATAAGGCGGTTACATTTCCTAAACTGTGTAGAAATATAAGAATAAAGGCTATTTCAAGTAAACCCTCATCGATTAAACGTTGTTATGTGTTGCTGATAATCTGCAAGCAGACATGTAGGGCTTGATGTTCTTCAGTCCAAAAAGTTCTGTTCACGTTCTGCATCAAACAATGAAGTACTCACTCAGTTTTTTTGCTTCTGCGTTGCATTCAATCTCGTTCAATAACTCCACAGCCACTACGACAGCTCCGGTCTCATCGAAAGTGGAAACCAGGACATCTGTGATCCGCAAGAAGTCTCTCCCCTCCACCTTGTTGCGATCGACCTGCGGCTCCTCTTTGCGGTGCACAAGCTCGTGGCAGAACTTGGCGAAGTTTTCCTTTGACAGGTTAGACAACATGCTTTGTACAGCCTTTCGTTTATCCATTTTTCACCAACAGATGTGGGACTGCCGTGACTTTTTCTCCCAGACCAGCAGCAGAGGACACAGAGTTTACTTTCCTTTTCTCTTGAATCGACTGCTGCCTCGAGAGGAAGCAGGGCGCCCCTCCCTACAGCACGTGCGCAGAGCGTATAGGGCCTCATATCGCGCTAGTCCAACCTACTGCACTGCATTGCATTGCAAATATTGGCTTACATTTGTATTGGTCTTTTGTTTCCCCATTACTGGAGTCCTTTTTTGTCTGCATGAGACCCCCAGACTGAAAGATACGAAAACGACTACACTGAGAACAACATACTCATTTTTGAACCAACATGTCTGAATCCTTGTCCAAGAACTGCACCTAAACTTCAGTGTTTATTTCGCTATGAATAGAGATGCCTGAATCCTTTTGTATTTTTGCAACAAACTGTAAAACATTATCCATGCCAACACTGTAAAAATGTACCAGCATTTCACTACATTTAACAGTATTATTTTACAGTGACATATTGTAATCAAGGCCCCCTGTAATATCCCAACAAATACATGTAAAAAGGACTGTATCCTTGGATTTCACAGCATTTAACTATAAAATACTGCAATCAAAATCTTCTGTAATATAACAACAACATTGTAAACATTGCAAGGATTTCACAGCATTTAAGAGTATCATATTACAGAGAAATATTGTAATAAAAAGCCCCTGTAATATCACAACAATATTGTAAACATTGCAAGGATTTCACAGCATTTAAGAGTATCATATTACAGAGAAATATTGTAATAAAAAGCCCCTGTAATATCACAACAAAATATCTATAAAACTACAGTAAAATTGGATTTGACATTATTTAACTATTATTTCACAGTAAAGCACTGTACTCAAAATCATCTGTAATAGCACAACCCATTACTGTAAAATTTGAATTGTGCAGCATTGCACATGTGCAGAATAGACTATTCTAACCGGCGTGTGTCCTGCAGCATAGCCTACTTCTCAAACCGTCTGGAAGATTTGAACTGAGACATTCTATACACTGTAAAAAAAGATCCTAATTTTACAGGAAATAAAAAAAAATTTATAGTAATTATGTTTTTTTAAATAACTTGCAAAATCCCGTAAAATTACAGATATGAACTATAAATTAACAACCCAAAACATTATTTTAAGTATTTTGACAACAACAAATAACATTTATTTCATTTTTTTTTTTAAAGTACATTTACTATATCATATTTACAGTATTTTTGCACTTTCAGAAAATACATGCAGATGTATGTAAAATAAAAATTATTATCTGCAATTAAATATGTAACTCCTCGTAATATAAAAGTGTATTACTATTATAAGACTTTAAGATATTTCTTTGTAATTTTAAGGTACCTACACATGAAACTGTAAAAAAAAAGTGTCAAACATTTTTACATAAATCATTTTCTCAATATTCGATTGAATCCACCACAAACACAAAATATCCAATGTTGAAACAAAAGTAAATAAATATGTTTTCATGAAATTCCTAACTTTCTATATTGTAAACATCTACAGTTGACAATATCATTAAAAAAAAAAAAAATCATAGAAAGTGGAGAAATCTCTGCAGGGAGGACCAAGGTTTAAAACACACACTGTTATTTACTCAACAATAAGTCACAGTTATCCTTGTTTTATTTATGTGTTATGTTGCTGTGTTTTTTTTTCCCATTGGTCAATATACAGTAATAAGGGTTAGTTATAGTCTTACATGCAGTATAATGTATGGTTTTCGGATTCTGGCCGACAGCCAGAGCTACGGCACTTGAAATAGAATTCAGCCAAACACGGCAGACAAGTCAGGCATGTTTGGAATGAGTCCACAACACTCCTGATTGGTTAATATAAACGTAATCGAAGAAACCTGCCAATGAGAACTGTCTGCGCCTGTCGTTCACATTTGAAACATCCACGTCAGTTTGAGCGGGTCTCCTGTATTTCTGCTGCAGGAGTTTATGGATTAATATCGGGATCGTTTTACATCTACACGTTAAATATGAGCATCGGGACGTCGTCAACAAAGAACAGAAGACTTGAGATCTGGTGAGTCCTGCGACTGTAATGGAGTTAAACATGTATTTAGAATATCATTAGTTTGTGAATGTTTTATTTTTTATTTAAGGTTACGTTTCTTCTTCTGGTTAGCTGAGTTTCTTCCCGTTATGATTAATAGGTTGTTAAATGTTGAGAAGCCCTGAGATGCTGTTTCTTGCAAGATGTTGCGCCCGGGAAACCGGTCTTAACAGGTGGCAGCTAACGTTAGCTTACAGCTTATTGCAGTGTTGCTGCACCACCCTCATCTCCATCACGGGAGAATTACACATAAACATGCAGCGGGGTGTCACAGTGTTGTCGCCAAGTTTATTGTAAAGTTTCACAGCTTTCTTACAGTGGTATCCAGTTAGTTAATGTTCAGTTATAGTTCTAGTTATGTTCTAGTTACAGCTAGCATAGCATAAACGGCTAACCGCTAACGTTTAGCTAACTTGCTAGTTAGCTCTGCTCTATATATTACAAGCTAACATGACTAGCTAATGTCACACTGTGAACTAAAATAGTTTTTGTATTACTACATCATACATGCTTGGTCCAAATCACTGCTAAAATTATAGTATGTAATTCTTTTTGCATTTTTATCACACTTGGCCTAAACTATTTTAGTTCATCATTTAAAGCTCCCATGTCATGCTTTTCCGGTTATTACCCGTCCCCTTGTGTGTTATGAAGGTTTTTATGCATGTAAACGGTGTGCAGAGTCAAAACCCTCAAAGTACACCCTGTAGCGCAGGGGTGGGCAATTATTTTTTACAAGGGGCCACTTCAGAAACTCGAGCTGTGTTGGGGGGCCGAATCAAAAATAAGTTGAACTTAATTCTGCTCAATATACCAATACTGAAAAGGTGTTTTACAGTATGTTAAAGATAAGAAATGAATCAGCTTTATACAAAAAGAAATGAGTGCTTTTGATTTTTGTTTTTCAGTTAATTTTACTTGTTCAGTGAGAAAAATCCAGTCTGTCTTGGGCTTGAACAAGTGCACGGAAATCTGGTTCAATGTCTGAGGTGGATATGCGAAGGACAGCTGAGAGGTGATCATCAGTGATAGAGGATCTGTATCTGGATTTGTTGAACTTCATCACTGAGAATGTCTGTTCACATATGTAGGTAGATCCAAAGAGGACCATCATCTTCTGAGCACGTCTCCTGATGTGTGGAAAGTTCTCCTCTTTCAGGGAAGAGTAAAACTCAGGCAGTGAGACTGACCTAAAGTGCTCTGACAGAAGTGTGTCAGACTGCAGGTCAATGAGTTCAAGCTGAACATCACTGGGTGCATCATCCACATGGCATGTAAATGGGGAAAAGATCATGTTCATTTCATTCTCAACTGTTTTGAAGTCTTTAAATCGCCTTGAAAACTCACCATGCAGTGCTTCTAACATGGATGAGTACCTCTGGAGGTGATCAGCTGATGGTGTGGCTTCCTTCAGTGTTGGCAAGTGCGTGAGAATGTTGTCCTCCATTTGGCTTGAGAGAAGCTGCAGCTTTCTCATGAAAGCCTTCACTGCACTGTACATGTCATGCACAAAAAGGCCCTTGCCTTGCAGTTTGACATTTAGTTCACTCATTAGTGCAGTCACATCTACAGCAAAACCAAGGTCTGCCATCCAGTCTGCATCTGAAAGCTGTGGGATGTCGTTTCCTTTCTTCACACAGAAGTCTTGAATCTCTTCTCTCAGGTCCCATACTCTTTTCAGCACTTTGCCCAGGCTGAGCCACCTGACAGCTGCATGGTAGGGTATGTCACGATGTTCAGTCTCACTTTCCTCCAAAAGTGCAACAACCTGTCTGTGATTCAATGCTCTTGCCCTGATGAAGTTAACTATTTTAGTTACAACATCAACAACATGGTTAATTTTTAACACTGACTTACACAACACTTCCTGATGTATAATACAATGCAAAAATACCTATTTCTGCTCAGGGTTAATTTCTGTCACTTTATCCTGCATTCTCTTCAATAGTCCAACATTTTTCCCTGTCAGATTTGGACAACCATCCGTTGTCACGCCTGCCAGCTTGTCCCATTTCAGTCCCAACTTTTCCACACATGCATTTACCTCCGTGAACAAATCACTCCCTGTTGTTGTACCTTTCATTGACTGCATGGCTGCCAGCTCCTCCGTGATTTTGAAGTCTGTAGTTATCCCACGTAGGAAGATGAGTAGCTGGGCAGTGTCACGTACATCGCAGCTCTCATCCAAAGCCAAGGAAAAAAAGTCAAAGTTGACCGCTCTGTTCTGCAGCCGAAGCTCCAGATTTCCCGCGATGTCCTCAATTCTCCTCGTAACAGTGCGTCGGGAGAGCGGCACTTTCTCAAATGCCTCCTTTTTCTCCGGGCATATTAGTGTCCAACAAACACTCCTTAATGAACTCTTCGTCCGAAAACGGTTAACTTTTAAGACATAACTCGTCTTGACAGCTGCATCTCTGGATGTGGAATGTTTTGTGAAAATGTGTTGTTGGCTTTGCAGCTTAGCTAGCAAAGCATCCGACCCCTTTGCCCGCTCTTCCTCAGACAGGTTCTTGTATTTATCTGCGTGTTTGGTAGCATAGTGGCGACTCAAATTGTACTCCTTGAACACAGCGACCTGCGCACCACAAACTAAACACACAGCTTTGATTGATTGATTGATTGAAAAGTTTATTAACAGCTTGTATATTGGGTACAGTACAGTACAGCTCAAAACATACAATTGTTAAGGGGATGCAGACCAGAGAAAGACTTTCGTCTTGTTTACATCAGGGTCCCCCATTTCCAATTCATCATATCATTTAAGACATATAAGACATATTTGACATACAGATGGCTTATTTACAATTTACATACAGGTGGTTTTTTACATACAGATGGCTTATTTACAATTTTCATTTTAGATTTCGTTCTAATACATCCTAACCGGACATTTAAGACATACCAAGTCTACAGATATACAGTTAGTAACAGAGTCTAAAATGCGAGTATATACATAGATGGGGGGGGGGAAGCTGTCCATTGTACGACAGGTTGAGATTTGTACCATTACCGGGGCCAGTTTTGCAATGCT